GTGTCCCAATTTCCCTTCTGTAATTAGGTATTGACTTTTTAACCATGTGGAAACTTGGATGCCTTTTGTGGTTGAATTATTTGTTATCGTACTCCTTTTTTTTGTTTGTATTTGGAGCTGATAATGTCTGACAGCCTCTGATTAAATAACGATTATGATTTATTCAACGAAGAAACTGGATTCCCTCCCTCCCTCCTTCCCTCCCAGAATTACTCAGTCTACCTTCTCATTTCTTTCTCTTCTTGTTCTTATGTGGACTATTTAATTGAGATGTTAAGGTCCCTTAAGATACTGAATGGCAATTTTAAACCAGATTTCTTTGTGGACTTGGAAGCAAGCTGCATTTTTGAGATGAGACTGATCCAATTATCTAGGCTGGAAACTCTAGAGAGATAAGATTTTTTTTTTCCAAAGTGTGATGTTATGTCCAGTATTCTCTCTTTGTTAAAAATAAACACCTTTATGTTGTAGGCTTTTTGTTTCATTTGATTTTGTAATAGAAAGGAGGGAAGGGGAATGTTCTGTAGGAAGCTGAAACAGTGTGACACTTTTTAGCACCAAGTCACTTTCTTTTTATGTGCTTTATATTTAATTAAAATTTGTTTGTTGCAAAATTTCAAGCGCCTTGGGAACTGGCTAGCCTTTTCAGCCTTGTTTTTTTTTTTTTTATCACAGGTTTCCTTGCAGGGCATGCTAGAAACTCAGAGTAGAACAAATGTATACCTCCTTCCTTTGCACAGGGAGTAGTAGCAGAAGGGATGTAGGAACTATGCTCATGATCACATACTAAGAGGATGTATACTAACCTTCCTATTCTGACTTTACTCCTTGCTTCTTCTTCAAGATTGCTGAGCTGTATAGTTCTTATTGTTTCAATCTGTTTTTTGCATACTTCCTTATTTCAGGCATTCATTCACTCTTGGGACAGATGGAGGAATATGAACATATTATGATGCCAATCTCCCCCTGCAAGTTTTTAAAATTTTATATATCACTATGAGTTAAGGCTATTTGATTGTAAATTTACTATGAATAACATAAGGGAAAGAAACATATTGGAAGAATTTTCTAGGGTATCAGAGAAGGTAAGACTCGGTTTTAAGGATGAGTCAAGAAACTCTGCCAAAGAGGGAGAAATAACTTCATGAAAGAGATACAAATGGATGATATTGGAAATAATTTTTAAAAAAAACAGAAAAAAGAGAGAATGAGGCAATGTTGTCAACTATAGGATGCTTTCTAGAGCAAATGGCAGTTGAGATAATCTTTCAAGGACAGAAAAGTTATTAGGCATGTTAGAACAGAATAAAATCAGATATATGCATACATACATTTGTAGATGTATATATTTAAGAAACTAAGATCACCTTTGGTTTTCTCAGCACGTAAACAGTGAAATAGATGGAAACTTTTGGAAGCTGAGGGACTAATTTGATGAATAAAAAGCCAAGATAATTCAACCTGATATAAGTTGTTCCACGTGCAAGTTCATCTGTCATAACTTGAATAAATTATGGCTGGTTTGCCTTGCTTTTTTTCTATGTATTTTTCCTCTCTTTATGCTGTTATTTTCTCTCTCTGCTACATGCCGGTCTCCTTATTCTTCTTTTCCTTTTTATACCACTTCTCCTCTCTTTGCCTGTGTTAGGAGTACTGACTTTACTTTTGATGTAAAATCATCTCCAAATCATCTCCAGTTGAGTTCTACTTCCAGGTATCTGTGGATATGAACTTTCATCGAAAGTGATGGAGCTCATGGTCACCCTCACCCAAGACATTCTCTGGACATTGTCCCAAAAGCATAGAGTGAATGAATAAGCCTTTATTCAAGAAAACCTGCTAAAACTCAGTGAGAATAGTGAGTATATAGCATTTGAGCTAAGATTGATTATTTATACCCTCCACTCCTGGCTCACAGAGACAAACCATGACTCTAGACAGACACCATGTTGTTGCAAGCAGGGATTTGAACCCCTCCTTTAGCTCCTTCTGAAGGAGATTTCTTCTACGGAAAAGTAAAAGTAAGACATCACATTTTCTCATTTTGTTCCAACCTTCCTATTGCCAGGCTAAATTCTAGATAGGTACAATCAAGAGTTGGTAATTCTCTTCTTCTTTCCAGAGCCACTAAGAGCAGATAGACTTTACTGTAGGAACTATGATAGTCATTCATTCTTATCCTACCTTATAGGTCAGTTGTTCCACATTGCAACAGAGGAACTAAGAAGGCCTGAGCCTACTGCCAGCCTCAAGCACTGAGCACACACAGCAGCTGAAGTAGGGACTATCCTGACAGTAATGATAATATTATAGTGGGGCAGAGGTGAGTCCTGAATTCTCTGCTTTCCAATGCATGCTTTGCTTTGATTTCTTATACTTAGGTTTCTTATACTTGATGTCCCTTTCTACTTGATTTTGTATGCTCTTCTCTTCAGATACTGCAACTTATTAATAAGATAATAGCTTTCAGTCTATTTCTCTTTCCTCTTCTTGTCACCTCATTGGGTGAACTGTGTGTCAGGATGTTCTCTATTTGCACGGGATTGATTTGTATCCCCTGGCAACTTTCATGGCCATGACTAAAATTTATAGGTAAGACCTAATCACACGGAATGAAAGTCACATTTTTAAAAGGCTATACTTCAAGTGTTTCTAAGCAGTTTTCTCCCCATTCATCGTTTAGGTTTAGGGTTTTTTGTTTGTTTGTTCGTTTTTAGGTTTTTCTCTGCCCCTACCACAACCATGACCAAAAACAGTTGCCAGAACTGCTGACGATGAGTTTCAATTTCCAACACGAAGGGCAGAACATACCATTGCCTCCTGTGTAAAGGGAGATGAAGGGAAGTGAGCTTAAAGGTGCGGTAGATCAACACTGAGCAGTCTGCAACCATATGCTGCCCCTCAGCTTTCCCATATGGCTTTGACTCTAATTTCAAACTTATTTTTCCAGCACATTTAACAGGGAGGAATGTAGATAGGGCTAAGCTACCTTCATGGAAACTGGTTCCCATAAGTAGAAGAGAGATTTTAAAAATGGCCAGTCTCCTAGTGTGTGCTTTGCCCAGCAAGGCTGGGCAAAGGCTTGCAGTTGATGGAAGTGAAACTTGTGTCCAGGGAGAAAGTGCTGGGACAGTAGGAGCTGAGGGCTGCATTGTGAAGACAGAACCACAGAGTCCAGAGCACCCTATTATTAGATTAGGCACACACTCTACCACTAAGCTACATTCCTAGCCCAATCATGCTCATTATAAAGATCAGAAAATGAAGTCTTGGTCATTTGTGTAATTGGACTCCAGCACCAGGCTTTAGTTTCTGTTTCCTAAATATGTGTTTCTATGATGTTTAGAAACTATTTTCCAATTTATAGGTCAATAATAAAGGTTTAGTACTATAAAAGTGTCATGAATAATGCTGCATGGTTATAAGTCATCCAGCCTGGAGTGAGTTGTATATTAGTATGTTTGATTCTGTATTCCCAGTGTGTCTCAATAACCCACACTTTTCTGTTTCACTACTGCTATTATTACTGTTATTTTTGCTATTATTGTTATTATTTTCACTCGGTTCAGGCTTGTCGGCCCCTTCATGAGAAGCATTTGGTAACTCTACAGTTTAAAGAAAGAAAACTACCACATGGTTCAGGCAGGAAAGAGTTTATTGGAGGGAAAGCAACATGCCAGCCCCCAGGAGTTGGAAGCATGGGAAAATGTGGGATAGGAAAAAGAGACAAAGTAAGGGGATTTGTGTTGAGCCTGATTATATAGGGAAAGTTGGGAGGTGGGACCACAGCTGATGCAGAAGTGAACTCAGAGCTGGAGAACATTTCACTGTCCAAGAGAGGCATGACTGAGGTAATTCAGGAAATGACCTCAGTGGATGAGGAAGTGACTTCAGAGTCTGGGGCCCTTTGACCACTCTGTTAGGTGATGACTGGTTTCAGGCCAGTGGGGGAGGGGCTGTTCTCCCAGGCAAACTTAACAACAACCTTCTCCAAGACTCACCTTCATGGCCTGTGATTATGGCTGTATTTGGTGATATGTCCTTTAAAGAAGCAGTGCAAAGTCAAAGTCCTACGAGGAGGTCTTTGTTCAGTTTTGCTAGTGCCCTTTAAAAGAGATCAGGACAAAGACATGTCTAGTGAAATCTTGACCTTGGATCGTAGGCCTTAGACCTGTAGGTATAGTAGGAAGACCCCCTACTCAGGCAGGCAAGCCCACCTAGTCATCTGGAGTGACAGAGCCCACCGCAACAAAATTAACAAAGAAGCAACTTTATTGAGAAGGTTCCTACACTGACGGGTCAGGGCCACAGCACAGGCTCGGGAACTGATACTGGGACCCGAGCGGCCCCCATTCTTTGTTTTTTAAAGGCAAAACCCATGAGGTCGAGCCTGGTCACACACACAAAGGATTGTACAGTCATACCAGACCACACACAGGTGGGCAATAAGGTTACGGTTTGTCTGTAATGGCTGTTTAAACCAGCCTATCACCTTGGTTTAAAATGGCGTGCGATTTTAGTGGGTAAAAAGAGGTCTACATTTTGGTGGCCAAAAGGTGGAGTTTACCATAAGCATATGCAAAAGGCAGGGTTTACTGTAAGCAAGTGGTGTTACCAGTTTGAGCCAGAAGTCTAAAATCCCTAAAACAAAGGAAACCTCAAAATGGACTCATACCAGCTTGGGCCCCATCTCAGGGTCCACTTCAGTAGGACAATAAATATCTATTACAATAAACCACCCGGTTGGAAATACTTCACTGTGGCAATCTTAGCAAGTGAGTATGAGCCATAATTTTCCACTATTAACACAAAATTGGAAGACCACAATATTCCTTCCACTGGCCAGTTGAGCCATGTGTGTTTATTTTCCCAAGTTCACCCCAGCCAAGAAGTCAGATGACTCCCTGGGATGAAAGCCAACTTCCTCTTGCTGACCCTCCCACCATTGGTATGCAGATGTCTTCTCTTTCTAACTTCCTCCTCCCTTTACAGGGAAAAAAAATACATACTAGAAAAACAAGAAAGAGGAGAATGCTAAGGCTGCCACTCTCACTTCCTCTCACCACTTAACTGCTTTGAATACAGTAATTGCTGGGGGCACCAGTGCTGAGGAGAAAAGATACCTGTGTTTCACAGACTCGGCCCTGTCTGCTGATTTTACAGCTAGATATGTTTTCGCGGGGCTGCTGCTGGTCACAGAAAATGCCAGGATGATGCCTTCCTGGCGCCTAGCTGGGACTCTAATGCCCACTATGGCTTTCCTCTCCTGTCTCAGACCTGAAAGCTGGGAGCCCTGCATTGAGGTATGTGGATGGATCTGCCCATCTCTTGTGAGCTTTTCCTTGCTTCTCAAAACTGCTCCCTGCTTAGAACTTTCTGCTGTGTGTTCTGCTTATTTGGCAAAAAGGAGTTAAATGAACTAAAGCTTTGAGAGATCAAATAACTCTCATTGTTAGCAGCATAAGGACAACAGGGAGCACCTGGTGTCTTGTTCCATTTAGAACATCTGAGAGCTATTATGGGCTTTAGGTTAGTTAGACTTGCTTAAACTTAATGCTTCAGGATCTCCTGTCTATGTGACCTTGAAGAAGTTATGGAACTTCTATGAGACTAGTTTTTTTTTGTCTCTTATTTATTTTTAAAATTATTTTTGTCTGTAAAAGAATTATGATACTTCACTGGAGAGTTTTAAGAAGGATGCCTTAGTGTTAGACCTTTCTTCTGGTGATGTGTACGCTCAGCATTGAGGAGTCTTCTTGTCCCCTTTCAATTTCAGGAGAAAAATGGCTTTTCTTTCTTTTCTCTGAAGAAAGTATTTTCTAAGTAGATTTCAGACTTCTAAGGGGACTTCAGTCCCATAGTTCAGTCTGGAGGCTGAAATACAAGTAATTAAAGAGAGACAGAGAGGAAGAAAGGAGGGAGAGAATGACACTCATTGCCAGTTAAGGCCGTGGTTTCCTTCAGCATGAAATACCAACTAGCTGATGAGTCATCTCACTCACAGTTCATCTCTGGGTTTTTTCCCTGCTTGGACTACACCATTGCTTAGAAACACATAGTAGAACTGAACAGCCAAGAAGATGATTGAAAGTTAGACTCGGACAGACACATTCAGGTATAACATTGTCACCTGGAGTCCTGGAATTGAAGACATGGGAGAAAATAATGTACTTTAATGTGTAAAGAAGACTAGCTGGGTCAAGTGTCCTCCCTGCTCCAAATTCTAAGCCCTCTCTTCTTCCCCTTCCTTCTCCTCCTCCTCCCTCTCTGCCCTTTCCTTCTCTTTCTCCTCCTCTTCCTTCTCTCTTCCCCGCTCCCCTTCCTCTTTCCTCTCTCCTTCCACTTCCCTTCCCTTCCCTTAGATAAAATTCCAGATATTCTCTACTCTTCCCCTTTCCCCTGATACAGTACTATCTTCTAAAAGCTTCTAAAGTTTGTCCCTTCCCTAAGGTCATACCTCTGTTCCTTTAGCCTTCACTTCTGGGTCATGACTAATCTCTTTAATTTACATAGACCTTTCTTTAGTCATTTTGCACACTCATTGGATTTATTATTATTATTATTATTATTATTATTCCAGAAGCTTGGCTCTAGCAAGTTACTCTCCTTTAAAATTTTCAGGGCTAGAGGCTAAAGTGGTAGAATGCTTGCCTAGAAAGAACAAGGCCCTGAGTTCCAATCTTAGTACTGGCAAAACAAAAACAATTGGGCCTTTTTCTTTTTCCCCTAAATCAGTGTTGTCTGATGGCAATATATGAGCCACAGAAGAGTAGGTTTACATATTCCAGTAACTACTTGAAATTTTAGTAAGAGCGTTCAAAATATTTCAGAATGCATTATATATTAAACTACTGAAAAGATGATTTACATTGCCCCTTCGAGGCTAAGTACTTGAAAATTACTGTCTATTTCACATGTATCACATGTATCAATTTAAATGGCCCACATTCATCCTCAATAGTTATGTAGAAGCACAGGCCTATTTTCCCAGTTTGGGGGAAGCTAAGACAAAAAGATTAAAAATTTAAGGCCAGACTCAGCTACCTAGTGAGACACTGTCTCAAAAAAAAAAAAAAAAAAAAAAAATCCAGGAGAAAAAAAAGAAAGGAACCAGAACAGCAACAACAACAACAGAGGTTGTGTATGGATTGTGGCTATCATATTGGAAACTTTTGGTCTATTATTTTTATAACTTCAATTTTATTCACTTCACTGGGATCTTTGTTTAAATATCTCTTTTTTTACATCTCCTCTGCAGTCCCTCTTTTGCCTGAAATCTCCTTTATACTGCTTTATCTTTTCCAAGAGTCTATTCGTAACATATTTTTATTTGTTCATTGTCAGAGTTACCCTTTACAGTATAATTGGCTGGAAGGTAGAACTGTTGCTGGCTTTATTTATCATTGTATTTCCAGTGTCTGGTACATAGTAGGTCTTGTATTTATAGGTGTTAAATGATGGCAGAATTGCTGCAGGATAGACTCTGAGGCCCTCAGAGCTGGCTGTGGCTACCCTGTAGGATGCATTTCACTTTTCCTGCCACTGTCAGCTAATCTAGTTAGTTTTCCACCCTTCCTGTCTCATGCCATCCTTACAAAATATCCTTCTTCTTTTCATGCACCCGAATCTTACTCAGCTTTCAAGACTGGCAGTGAAAAACCACCTCTGAATCCAGAACTGCTCTCTGCTTTCTCTGTAACAGAGGACAAATTGTCAAGGCTATTTAATGGATCTTGGAGACGGTGTTTGTTTTGTTCTTATTTCAGCTGTCATACTAGATTGCGAATTGAGTGAAGCCTAGACCCATTTGTATTTTTTTTTTTTAGATTTTTAAATTTTTATTGTAAAGGTAATGTACAAAGGAGTTACAGTTACATAAGTCAGATAATGAGTGCATTTCCTTCATTGCTCCATTTGTCTTTGGATTGCACACAGCACTTATCAGAAAATATCTATCATTCGGGCTTAACCAAACTTTCTTTGGCCCAGTTATGCAGTATTTTTTCATTGATCTAGTCAACAAAAGTTTATGCAGCACCCACCATTCACCAAGCACCATTCTGTGCTTTGGAATCCAAATGCCAAGCTATTGTTTGCAGTCAAGTGCAAAACATGAAGACATGTAGGATATAATCATGCAGGCAATATTAATTTTGTCTGGTTATATAAAACTATGGAGGGAGATAAAAGAGGGTGAAGGAAGATTTCTTGAACCATGCTATATTAGGTATATTGTCTTCATTCCCATGATGGGTAATGAATGTTCAACCAGGCATGGGAAGAAAGTGAGGGCTTGCAAATGTGAACTCTGTGATTTTATCCATCCTACCTTTCACTCTCAGTTTCTAGTTTCTTTGGCTTTTAAAGATTTCATTGCTGGTTAAGTGAAATTACATAACATGTATGAAGTTTGCAGATATGTGGTAAGGGTTTAATAGTAGACAATGATAATTCTAATATTTATATTTAGATGATTTTTAGTGTAATGGGCTTTGAGATAAGTTCTTTAAATACCTTATCTCATTGAATCATTTAAACAGATTCTAATGGCTTTAACCAAGAAAAGACTAAAACCAGGTGGATAACAGCAAGGCATTTTGTAGGTGATCACCTAATTTCTGAAGTTAGATGGAAGGTTCAAGAAGAAGGCTTACAAGGAATATGGGAAAGTAAAGCTTAACAAATAAAAGCTCAGAACATAAGATGGCATAGAAAGCAAAACAGTAAAGACATTCAACCTTATTTTACTCTTTCACTATTGGAATCTCTACATTTTACCATGATCCCTTATTTCTGTGTGACTTTGCTACAAGTCCATTAGCTAAGGAACAGAAAGGGAAGTATAGACATCTTAATTGTCTTCTCCTGCTAGATATGTTGAGGGTAGGCAATCACAACGGTACAAAGTATTTTACTACCTCTGTTTTATGTGTGATAGGTGAAGTTCACTGAAATTAAAAAGAAAGGAAGAATTCAAAAGAAGTAATAAGAAATCTAGGAATTCCAAATTTCAGATGTCCTCATGACTAGATTTCCTTTCTTCTCATTTCGTGTTACCATTAATATTGTAGAGGTTAGATCAGTGAGTTCAAAGGAGACATTTAGTAAATATGAAATGTGTGGGTACACGGATGGATGGATGGATGGATAGATGTATGTAGAGATGGATGAATGGATAGGTAGATGGATAGATAGATAGAAGAGGTTGACTGACTCCTGTTCCAGAGCCTGTCTCCCATCCCAATCTGATTTAAGAAAGAAAAATTGGGACAGTACAGCTGGCAAAACTACATTTAATATGTGATTATTGCAGGTGATCCCCAATGTGACATACCAATGCATGGAGCAGAACCTCTCCAGAATCCCTGACAACATACCCTCCTCAACCAGAAACCTGGACCTGAGCTTTAACCCCCTGAATACCCTAGAAAGTCAGAGCTTCTCCAAATTTCCAGAACTTCAGGTGCTGGATTTATCCAGGTAAATGAATGAGCTTTTCCATACTATACAAGGTGAGACATTTGTTGTTTTCTCAATTCATCTTCATGCGTAGCATTTCATTCTGAGGGCCAGAATGCCAGGCTGATAGTCTCATCTTCATTTGTCAGTTCCATGCAGTGGACACCATGATGGTAGACATACATTAAGTATTACCAAGAGAAGCCATGGGAGTCTGGGATAGATACCAGCCTTCCAAATGTCTTTCTGCTTTTAATGTGTCAGAGTTCATGTTAGCTTACAAATCAAAGGGCACATTATCCAGAGGTAGAAAACAGGCTACGAGGATGCAGTAAAGATTAGGGACACTAAAGAATAGGCACCTATCTGTCCAAGGACAGGATCAGAGTAGAATGTGAAGCACTTGGGAGCCTATGTCTTTACTCAAACACAAAAGCAAACACACAAACCAGCAGTCTTCCAATGGCTGCATCAGGCTTTCTCTGCACCTACTTATCCAATCAATTCCTGTATTCACTCAGCTCCTATGGGGCTTTATGGCCCCCACACATATTCATATATTTCTTCCACAGATGTCTTCCTTGTGGTATAACCTTAGATAAGCCATCTCTATTTTCCATGCCAGTTTCCAACTATGAAATGAGCAGCTGCAAGAGAGAGTTCTAAGAAAACTTTACCTTTGGGGTATTTTTTAATTCAGGAGAGAAAATTATGTTGGTAGATACTTATTGACCATTGGCAATATGATGTGCACTGTTAGGAAACACACACACACACAGACACACAGACACATACAGACACACACACACACACACACACACACACACACACACACACACACACATATAACAATTAGGGAGACCAAATCTTTTTTAAAGGTGTTAGTATGTGAAAGTCCTAGCTGTATTGGTGGGCACATAGTACAAACTCAATGAATGTTATCTGACTCTAGCCTTTTCTTTTTCTTTTTTTTTTTCTCTCTCTCTTTTTTCTTTTTTTGCTCCAGACTAGCTCTCTGCCACTTTGAGCCACAGCTCCACTTCTGGTTTTCTGGTGGTTAATTGGAGACGAGAGTCTCATGGACTTTCCTGCCAGGGCCGGCTTTGAACCTTGATCCTCTCACAGCTCAGCTTCCTGAGTAGCTGGGATTACAGGTGTGAGCTACTAGTGTCTAATGATGGCTCTGGTCTTTTGACCTGAAGTATCTCATTGCATTTCTTGGCCTCCAATTTTATATCTCTTAAGTAGAAATAAGGAAACTCATCATACAGGGTTAAATGTGATAAGACTACTAATGGGCTGTAAATATTCAAAACAGTATAAGGTGTATTTTATAAAGATAAAATATTATGATTGATATGATCATTATATTGGATTCTAAATTGTAGTTTTCCAACTGGTAATTTTGCCTAGTACTGCTCTAAAGTTGACCAATCAACTTTCTCCTTTTTAAGAAAAGATGTATTTTCTCATCAGACAATGTTCCATATAATTCATCTTTGATGTATATAATCCCAAGGAACTGTCTCTATGTTTATAAAGAGGCCAGCTCCCTCTCTGATTAGCCCATAGGAGATTTCAAATTAGGACAAGGACAGAGACAGTAACACATAGACAGTAACATAGCCATTTTCCAGTCAAATAGTACAGTAACGGAAAGAGTCTTCTGAAAGTGCTCTGGGATACAACAGAGACCTTTCTTTCTCTATAAAATGCATACATCAATACATAATCTGTTTTTAGATGAGGAAGCTGAGGTTTGAAGAGTTTAAATGATTTAAGTGCCACATTGGTTTATTACAACAGAACAGACATTCAAGCCTGCATCCCTTTCTTCTAAGTTAAATGTTTTCTTCATCTTCATGTGTACTTCTCTTATGCTTTACATAATGAAATGGAGATACTGCAAAACCCTGCAAAATCTAGTATGGCCTGATATATATATATATATATATATATATATATATATATATATATATATGAACATGGATTATGAAATCATATCACCAAAAGAAGGAACTGAGATGTAGTAAGTTCAGCTGTGTCATTTAAAAATGTGTTAACTGAAACACAAAGAGAAAAAGGAGTTCTAAAAATTACGTAGTAAGGAGAGGGAGCTGAGGCTCCAAAACCTAGTTGTCCTGCCATATAGATAGATAGATAGATAGATAGATAGATAGATAGATAGATAGATAGATAGATAGATATAGATATATATTTCCTGAGGCAGGGTCTTGCTCTATAATCCAGACTGGCCTCACATTTGTGGTCCCCTTTTCTCTGTCTCTCAAATGCTGTGACTATAGGCATGGCCTCCGTCCGTGGCTCCCAGAACATTTTCTGCCACATCCACCATCTTCTAATCAGTTGTAAGTAAATTACAAAAGCTTACCAAGATTATTTTATTTATTACAAAAGCTTACCAAAATTATTTTATTTATTACTTATGGATCTTCTGAAAGTCCTAGGACAGGCAGGGAATATTGTAAACCTCCGGGAGGGTAGCTCAGATTAGACAGGGAAAGGATTCCTTTATAGACTCTGTCAGGCAGGCTCCTGAAATACTAGCAGGAATTTTTCACGAGCTGTGTAAGCCAGCTGCCTCAGTGCTGTGTACGTAGGAAGTCTCTATGTAACATGGCTACTAATTAATTCTCTTGGGGTAAAAAATTTAAAACCTTGTCATTGTTCACTTCATCTGGACCCTCCTTTCTCCACATCCCTATTTATCCACACAACCTTCATTCTCAATGTGCACTTCTGAGAGCAACTATTGTAGTTACTCACTGTATCATGACTGCTTTCTAACTTGAGGGTTTTGGGGGGGGTCTCTTGCTCACCTTTATTTCCCATTAATTATTACTCATCCCTTAAATTTCAACTTCAATATTCTCAGGAAAGCTTACTTTAATCTCTTTAATCTGGACTGATGTTTTGATATTGACTTCACACCCAGCTTTTCTTTTTCTAACATGATACTCCTGTTAACCGGTTATTAATGTTTACTTGGGGTAAATGGCAGCTTTCACCTTCTAGCTGTCACATAGGCAGAGCTTTTTGTAAGTATTAAGGGTATCAGTGGCACTTATGTGAAATTATTTATATCCTTGAAACAGACATCTGTCACTTGTGGTGGCTACTAAAGTTACAACCACCTACGTGGTCTACACCAATCATGGACTCACAATTAACTGTGTCACCAAATGGCAAAACATGACCAAAGGCCATGACATACTCTATCAACCATGTAATCTATATGAGCCCCAATTATTGATCTCTCATTGATTTTATTCTGATGGATCTGCTGCCTCTGCTTAGCATGTATACTTAATTTGAAAATGTTTCCCATTGTAGCTAGGATGCTGATATTGAATCTGTGGAGCTTCATTTTAAATTTGTGCGTGGTGTAAGTGTGTGCCGATGGTCACTGATGGTTGGCCATCTACCACTTGAGTGATGACTCCAGTCTGTGGGGCTTCTTACTTGCTCCTCCCATCAACATCTACCCCATTACATATCTTTGCCTATGTACAATCATAGAGCACATAACATCTTATGTAAAGAACTGGTGGGCTGGGGTCATTATTCTGTTGTGAATCTTCATTCAGCAGAAATATTATGCAATCTGTATCTTTTTATTTTGTAGGTGTGATATTCGGGTGATTGAAGATGGTGCCTATCAAGGTTTAGGCCAACTTTCTACCTTGATATTGACGGGAAACCCTATCGAGAGTTTAGCCCCAGGAGCCTTTTCTGGACTTTCACATTTGCAGAAGCTGGTGGCTGTGGAGACCAACATTCTCTCTCTAAGGAACTTCCCTATTGGAAATCTCAGAGCCTTGAAGGAGCTCAATGTGGCTCACAATCTTATCCATTCCTTCAAGTTGCCTGAATATTTCTTAAACTTGACCAACCTGGAACACTTGGACTTTTCCGATAACAAGATTCAAAGTATTCATTACAAAGACTTACAGGTTCTACGTAAAAAGCCACTACGCAACCTCTCTTTAGATCTTTCCCTGAACCCAATTGATATCATTCATCCTGGTGCCTTTAAAGAAGTAAAACTCCATAAATTGACTTTAAGAAGTAATTTTAATAGTACACATGTAATGAGAACTTGTATTCAAGGTCTGGCTGGTTTAGAAGTCTACCGGTTGGTTTTGGGAGAATTTAAAAATGAAAGGAACATGGACAGTTTTGACAAATCTGCCTTGGATGGATTGTGTAGTTTGACCATTGAAGAATTCCGGTTTGCATATTTAGATGAATTTTCTGGTGATGTTACTGGCTTGTTTAATTGTTTGGCAAATGTTTCTGCAATGTCTCTAGTGAATCTGTATGTTAAAAACCTAGAAAACCTTCCTGAAGATTTCAAGTGGAAATCCTTAGAAGTAGCAAGGTGTAAGTTTAGACAATTTCCCCCTTTGGCACTCCCTTCTCTCAAAGAGTTGAATTTTACAGATAACAAAGGTGCAGTTAACATGGTAGATATTGAACTACCAAATCTGGAAATTCTAGATCTTAGTAGAAATGGCTTGAGTCTCCGGCATTGCTGTTCTTCTGACGATTTTGGGACAACCAGACTCCGGCATTTAGATCTGAGCTTCAATGGTGTTATTCTCATAAATTCAAATTTCATAGGCTTATGCCAGCTAGAGTATCTAGATTTTCAGCATTCTGCTTTGAAACATACCAATCAGTTTACAGTATTCTTATGTCTCCACCAACTGCACTACCTTGACATCTCGTATACCCATATCCAAGTTGCCTTCGATGGCATCTTTGATGGCTTGACCAATCTGAAAGTTTTAAAAATGGCTGGTAATTCTTTCAAGGACAGCACCCTTCCAAATATCTTCAGAAACATGACTAACTTAACCATCCTGGACATTTCTGAGTGTCAACTGACACAGGTATCCAAGGGACCATTTGACTCCCTTCCCAATCTTCAGGTCCTAAATCTGAGTCACAACCATCTCGTGTATTTGGATCTGTTCCCTTATGAACATCTCCTCTCTCTCCAGGTCCTAGATTATAGTTTCAATTATATCGTAGCTTCCAAACGGCAGACACTACATTTCCCTAGTAACCTAACTCATTTAAATCTTACTCAGAATAATTTTGCTTGTAGTTGTGAACATCAGAGTTTCTTGCAGTGGGTCAAGGATCAGAGGGGACTCTTGGTGGAGGCCAAACAAATGACATGTGCAAATCCTCCAGATATGCAGGGCATGCCAGTGCTGAGTTTCAGAAATACCACCTGTCAAATAAACAAGACCACTATTAGCCTGTCAGTGCTCAGTATGCTCATGGTAGCTATTATTGGACTTTTAGTCTACAAGTTCTATTTTCACCTAATGCTTCTTGCTGGCTGTAAAGAGTATGGTAGAGGTGAAATGGCCTATGATGCCTTTGTTATCTATTCCAGTCAGGATGAGAACTGGGTGAGAAATGAGTTGGTAAAGAACTTAGAAGAAGGAGTACCCCCCTTTCAACTCTGCCTTCACTATAGGGACTTTATTCCCGGTGTGGCCATTGCTGCCAACATTATCCAGGAAGGCTTCCACAAAAGCCGGAAGGTGATTGTTGTAGTGTCTCGGCACTTCATCCAGAGCCGCTGGTGCATTTTTGAATATGAGATCGCTCAGACCTGGCAGTTTCTGAGCAGCCGCGCTGGCATCATCTTCATCGTCCTGCAGAAGTTGGAGAAGTCCCTGCTCCGGCAGCAGGTGGAACTGTATCGCCTTCTCAGTAGAAATACTTACCTGGAGTGGGAGGACAGTATGCTGGGGAGGCACATCTTCTGGAGACGACTCAGGAAAGCTCTGCTGGATGGAAAAACATCACAACCGGATGGGCTAGCAGATGCAGAAAATGTTCACCAAGAAGCCACGACTGCTATCTAGACTGGAAGAATAACTCCTGAGCCACTTCTCCACATGGATTCGATGCTAAGGACCAAACGTCACAGACTGCCAGGTTATCACTCTAAGAACTTGGGGTTGCTCAAGGTACATAGGACTGGGAGTCTTGTGGTACTTGCAATGCAGATGGAAAAAATACTAGGCAAAACCCAGAACTTGCTAGGTGTGAGTTCCAACCAAATCCATGAAAGAGTCCTGACTGTAGAAGTCCATTGAACTACCCTATCAAGTCCAATCAGAACTAAGAAACTTGGGCCTGATGGAAGAAGGTGAGCTTGTTTTTCCCCTAAGCATTTTTGAATGGGAACGGTATGCTGGATTACACTTCAATTGTTTTAAGAGAGTTTTGGCAGTTTCAAATGAACAGGGTGTTTGCTTGCTTTGAATCCAATTCAATGACTCAGATTGATTTCTCATTCAGGATTCCTCTTCCATTTCACGTCAGTTTCCTTAATCTTCAAACTAATCCCTAAAGATGTCTGCTTAGTGCATGCTGACTAGCATCCTGGTGTCCTTCCATAGTATGTTGTATTTATTGAAGAAGAATTCCTAATTTATTTTTATTTTTACACCTCAAATTCTCATTTTTCCTCCCTTGTCCATAAACTCACATCATAAATAAAGGCTGACACATGCTGGAAGCATTCATATTGAACCACAATTTTTCAAACAGATATGAAAATTATAGCATCACCTTGTCACTTGATGCCACTCTTAAGTTATTACCTTGTGAGTTATGACTGTCACAGAGGCATGCATGGAAATGGTTGGGTTGAAAAGGACACTTCTTTTAAAGCCCAGGGAGAAAAGTTCTGCTTCCTAGTTTCACAAAGAGCTATTTGTACTAGACACAAGGAGGAGGACATGTCTTTTTGATGATTCCAGAAATATAGATGAAGCTTCATCTCAGGATGGAGTACTGGAGGCCTTCAGTACTCCATGGAGGGCATCGTGGGTCCCTTTTCTTGCACTGTGCTGTACCCTTCCCTCATCACCAGACTACTTTGTGAAATGCAGTGGGGAGGGGCATATTGCTACTTCCCCTTGGGTGTCAGTTCCAGACCAAATTTATGTTATCACTGAGAAAATGATGTCATAGGGTTCATGGTAAGCTGACTTCGGAGAAAAGCACATTCCCCTTGCTTCCTTAGAAATGGTACAGTAAAAGCTGTACGTATTATGGAAAGGCATTGATATATCACAGTATACTATTTAGAACAGTCATTACACAAATCATACATATAGCCATTGTATGTGTGTGTACGTGCCTGAGTGTGTGTGTGTGTATGTGTGTGTGTGTGTGTGTGTGTGTGTGTTAACGAGGATAAAGAGAAAATTGAGCTGTTACACTGTTGCTGGTGAGTATCTATAATTCCTGCCCCCGGGGCATGGAAGGCAGAAAGAACATAAGCCAAGAACCAGACTAGGTGTCATAGTGAGGCACTGCCTCAAAACAAAATAATAAATCCAAATTAAAGCAACTGCATGATCTACCAATCCTACTCTGAGTTTATACTCACAAAGATATGTACACTCCCATGTGTACTGCAGCAATATTGTGTTCAGCACTTTGGGTAGAAAATTATTGAGATTTCTTTTTTGTAACGAAAGGAACCCTGCCATTTGTGGCAATAGATAAACCTACACATCCTTATGCTAATTGAAATAAAACAGTTATAGAAGAAGAGGATTTATGGAAACTGCAGATGGGGTGACAAGGAGGGAAATAAATTATACGCACATAAATATAAGAGAAAGGAAAAGGAAAGCCAGACTTAGGATGGGCTCTTAGACCTTCTGGATGGAGGGGAAATAAAGAGTGGAATGTAGAAAAATTAATGTTGGGTACCTTAACTGTGTGCAATACCTTACAACTTGGAACATATTCAAACTACTGTAGACTCTTATACACCAGGTGCGGTAGCAGATCAGGTCTTAATTTTCCATGTTACTGATGAAAATTCAATGAAGTAAATTTATTTTACATTGGCCACAGATTAAGCAAGTAGACAGAACTTCAATGGTGCCTCCCGCCCACTCAGGAAAATTCTCTTCCACTCTACCCCATTGCTTCAAGCTTCAAGTTGGCAAAATGAGAAGCGAAACCCCTGTAGCTCCCTCCGTGGTTCACATTAAACAGGGCTTTTTTTTTTTTTCAACCTAAACCATGAATCATTAAGCAAGTACATATGCATGGATGTATTATACAATGAATGGTTTATTCATAGCACAACTCTCTCCATAAAGAATCAAAGGAGCTTTGAACAAAGCATATGTAAGCAGTAATGTTAACTAATTAATTAGAAGTAAAAACTTGGGCTACTGGACTCTTACAAATTGAAGGATGGGCTAGTACTTTGTTAGAACTCTGGGGGGAGGTGGAGAAAATATAACTAAGTGCAGTGGCTCATGCCTGTAGCTTGTAATTTTAGCTTCTCAGGAGGTGGAGATAGGGAAGGTCATGATTGGAAGGCAGCCCAGGAAAGAACGGTAGTGAAAGCTCATCTCAGTAAACACAGCTTGACACGCTGGTTCACTTTGTCATCACGGTCTATGTAAAAATGTTTAAATAGGAAAATCCCAGTCCCAGCTAGGCAAGGCAAAACATCTGAGAGAACCTGCACAATAACTGAAGCGAGTCTTGCCCAGCAAGCACAAAACCCTGAGTTTAAACTTCTTTTTCTCATCACTCATTATTTTATTTTATTTTTTTATTGTGAAAATACTGTACAGGGAGGTTACAATTACATGGGCAAGATAATGAGTACATTTCTTATCAAGGATAGTAGCCTCCTCCTTTGTTTCCCCTTCCCATCCCTTCCCATCCTCCCCCTCCCCCCCCACCCAATCCTCCCTGCTCCCCCCCCCACCACCAAAGTTGTAAAGTTTGTTTTCGACATAACGACTTGTACATCTCATTGTTGCAATGGGTCCACCTGTATCCCTATTTAGACGATTTGTTTTTCCCCTTCTCCACCACAAATTATACCGACATCAAATACAGTGAAAGCAGGGGTTATACTGTAGGGGAGGGACATACAAAGCAACAAAGAAATAATCTTATAAATGTGTTAAAAACAATCGCATGAAAGAAGAAAAACATTTGAATACATATCTTAGGGTTCATTTCCCTAGCATCACCTTATCTGACCTTTTCCGCTTGACTCAGACATATACTAGATATTGCAAATAAGGGAAACCATGGGACCTATGTTTCATTGGGCCTGGCTTACTTCACTTAATATAATTTTTTCCAAGTCTTTCTATTTCCTAACAAATGGGGCAATGTCATTCTTTCTGATGGAGGCATAGAATTCCATTGTGTATATATACTACATTTTCTTGATCCATTCATCTACTGAGGGGCATCTGGGTTGGTTCCATATCTTAGCTATAGTAAATAATGCTGCAATAAACATAGTTGTGGTGGTAGCTTTAGTGTGGTCTTGTTTGTAAACATTTGGGTAAATGCCCAAAAGTGGGATTACTGGGTCATAGGGGAGCTCTGAGTTTAAACTTTTATACCACAAAAATATTAAAAATAAAAATCAATATGTTTAACAGAAAGGACACTGTTCTTATGGGTGCTTATGCATCTGGAGTTATAAAGAAGGGAGTTGAATGAAGGGAGTATGAATATTGTATGTAGCTGTATGAAGGGAATTGTATATATATATATATATATATACGTATATATATACATATATATGTATATATATACGTATATATATATATATATATATATATATATGCATGCAGGGATACAGGGAGTATAGGGAAGAAAATCGAGGGTTAAGGCTTGTCAACCATAATATTTTAATAATTGATATTTTACCACCCTATGGGACTACAGTGGTTAATTTAATTAGGCAGTTGCTTTTTTATGTAACCATCATTTGTGGGTTACCAAAACTTATAAAATCATCCTCACAAAATACTCGCTAGGAGTTCAGTCAGGGATAGCTGAGAGTCACCCAGGTCTGTTTAGCCTATGTTTCTGCCATGCTGAACATCATACCTGATTCAACTGAGGACTTCATCTGAGGAATAGATGAAGAAACCATAGCACCTTCTCTGCAGATAATGCGATCCCCTCTGCCTCCCTATTAATTCCCCAAGTTCCCAGAACACATTGCTCTACTGCACATCCTGGTACCAGGGTTTTGGAGTTTCATGGTTTCCTCTGTTCATGGCCTCTACACGATTGTTCTTAACCACTTCCTCCATTTCATCCTGGAGTCTGAGTATTTCAAAACTTTCTAGAAGTGGGGAGAGGACTTTTCTTATAACAGTTACCTTTAATAGCTATGTGAGGTCCTATTCTACTACTCTATTGCTCTATGTATGCTGATTTAAATGCACATGCCATGCTTATCTGATGGATGCTAGTAATATCACATTAGGAAATCAAGGCTCTGAGATTTAAAGTGACAGATCCAAAGTCAAACAGGTATTCTATGGCAGAGTATGGTTTTAGAGCCAGTCTCTTCTTTTGAAAAGTCAATTAACTGTGCCATATGCTTTCACAGAAAGAATGACTCGTTTCTATTTTGTTTAGAGATTTGAATCCTATTATTCTTTATTTTTATTTTTATTTTCTTTATGCTATGACCAGGGTTCAGAACTATAACCCAGCATGAAGTTTTAACCAAACAATAGGCATTGAGTTGAAGCAGGAGAGAGTGAAAAGAATATGGAGTATTTGAAATCAGCCATTCCTCTAATGATGATGGACTAAGCCTAAACCACTTCAGCTCTTTCTTGATGGAATAAAATTCTTTTGCTTGAGGCTCCCAACTGATGCAAAGGACCTATATTTGGTTCATCCCAATGGATTTCCTGATAGGTCCAGTTGTTTCACTATTTATATAAAATTTTTCCAACATTCTTCAATCAGGGATTTCTTCTGTCATGTGGTATGTTTTGCCATATTTTGATTACTGTCTTCAAATAGTTGCACAAAGCAGTTTTAATCAATATGTCCATTTATCTGTTCAATATATCTTGCTTAGTGTCACACATGGTTTTAAATAAGGATAATCTTTCAGTTTGGAAGAAAAAAATCTGCTCAAAAGAGAAGAGAAGTTATCAGAATCCACATGGATGCCCCTTTCTCCAGCCCTCCCAAAAGTAACTGCAGCTGAGAAGGCTATAAAGGAAGATTCATAAGAAGGATTACCTGATGCTGAAGTCTATACCTGTCTCACTTTCAACTGGACACTTACCTTTTGGTCACCTGCTCTTTCTCTAACTCTAGGAACTAATCCTCCTTCCTTATTGGATAGTATTTTAATGTTTTAACAAAGACATTGCATCTTGTCTTCAGCCTATATAACTAAAACTGATGTAGCTCAAGGACTGAATCTACTAAGCTGAGATAAATTTTATGAGGCAAGCATCACTTCAAAGCAACTCTTGGCCTCTGATCATACAAAATAATATTTATCAAAATGAACTTCAGGAAATGGAAGCAAGAGTTTTTGTTGTTGTTGGTTTTTCATTTGGTGCTGTTTCTGTTTTGTTTTGTTTTGTCTCATTTGTTCATTTTTAGGGGTGAGTGGGGGGTAACAGAAATGGAGGGACAAAGGGTGAACAAATGCAGCAGTGGCTAGTCACGATGTTGAAAATGAACTTTAGAACTTCTGAGTGGGGACAGGAGAGGACAACTGGGAGAGTATGAGGGAAGGGGTGACATTATTCAAAAAGAAATGTATTCTTCACCTGATTTACATAACTGGGAGGTCTCTGTATATCACTTTATAATAACAATTTAAAAAATTAAAAAAAACAGCCCCTGCTATCCTAACCACAATACAAAATATATTCCTTGGTCTTTTCAACCCCAACCGGGAAATAAACCTTCTATACTGGCCTCCCAGGTCATTCACTACTAGGGTTTCACTCTATTCCGAGAAAGAAAAGGCAAGAGACTACTTGCCTAGGCCTATGTCCGGTGCTAACACAAAGTAGTCCTATATTGAATTTGAATTCCCATACCCTAAAGGACTTTACAGTCTCGAGTTCCTAGCAGGGAATGGTAAGTTGGACAGGTGCAATGGGGATATGCAACAGGAGCCAAAACGGAACATTCTTTATGGTCTACTCCAGTCTTTGAGGAAGGAAAATATTGAGTAGCAGTTAGACATAAGCAGAGGTAAAGAAACACAAGGGAATGCTTGTTTTCTGTCTAGCAAAATATTGCTCTTCAGAGGGAAAACAAACAGGTACACACACACAATTCATATATATATATGTATATATATATATATATGTCTTTCAAGAAGCACACACATATATGTATGCAAGTGTGAAAGAGAAAGAGAGAGAGAGAGAGAGAGAGAGAGAGAGAGACCCTGTCTAATTATAGATAAAGAATGTGAAGTTTGCCAAAGATCACTACCAGATCAAACTAAATGAACTGGACAAGAGTTACCTTTTAGTCATTAATAGGACCCTGTAGGTTTTCCTTAGGTGGTTATGAGTAATCACATGAGCAAAATAATTCTTGAGATGTGTCATAGTATCAAAGAATTAAGAGTCTATAAAAGATGGGCACTGGTGGCTCATACCTGTAATTCTAGCTACTCAGGAGGCTGAGATCTGAGGACTGTGGTTTGAAGCCAACCTGAGAATGAAAGCCTATAAGATTCTTATCTTCAATTAACCAGTAAAAAATCAGAGGTGAGGCAGTCATTGAAGGGGTAGAGCACTAGCCTTTAGCAAAATAATGCTGAGAGACAGCCCCCAATCCCTGAATTCAAATCTTAGGACAGGTGTGTGTGCAAATGCACACACACACACATATGAGTTTATGAAAAATACAGTGAAAGATATGTATAATGAATTGTTAACAATGGACAAGTAATCTCTACATACATAATGACTTTTTTCAACAGCATACTTAGCTTTCTCCATCCTATCTCTTGTTCGTCTCACTTTCTGCTGGGCATCACAGATTTGTGTTTAAGCCCAAAGGTGATTGAGGAAGTTCCAAGAGCTGATGATTTTCTAGGTGTTTAGAATAAGAACCTGCACCCTGGTTTGCCATTATGCAGATTACTGAGCATTTTAGTACAGAGTAAAATCTGGGGAGTAAGTTGTTGATCAAAACGAACCAAATCCACCAAGCATCAGATGTTCCTCTCTATATGCTGACTCTACCCTGTAAGTGTTGGGTTACTCTCTTCATTTTAACAATGAAGAAATGGATGCCTGAAGACAGGAATAACTGTTCTTAGGTCATACAGCTTAATATTAATCCATGCTAAACACTAACGTTTGCTAAGTTTTGGGCACCTATCTGTAAATGTTCTAACTTGTTGATTGATTCATATGATTGTAAATTACAATTGTAGATTGATTCATGTTATTTAAATGAACTTTTGGTGCAAGTACTGGTTGATTTCCCATTCCATATATAAAGAAACTGAGAGGAAAAGGTACATTGTCCAATTGGATGGTGTAGAACCCAAGTTGGACTAATTCCCAGGGCTGCCTGTTTTCTAGCACTTGTAATTTGCTGGGTGTTCTGGGCTATTCTGAGAGAGGTAGTCAGAGGAGTGCTGGGAAAATAATTTGGACAAGGTTAAAAGCCCCATTCCACCTCAAAATTGAAAGTTTAAATGACAGAATGTGTAACTTTTCTTGATTTCTACAGACACAGAGTCGATCTCTCCTGTGAAAATGCTAAGGGACGA